CTAAAATGTATTTGAAAGTAGGATTGTTACTTCCGGTTTCGTCCCGATTCCGTATATGATCTAGTGCCGACCATTATTTTATGGGAATGGCTGGTTAAGTTTAGGCATGAATAGGTAGTTTGTTATATTTACTTCCGCTTCCGTCCAGATTCCGTGACGTAATCTACTGCTGCCTGTGCTCATTGGATCAAACTGAACTTCCGGACGAATCCGGTTTCCGGGACGAATACGGGAGTGACACGCCTAACTGTTACCCGCCTAGCTGTTACCCGCCTAACTGTTACCCGCCTAACTGTTACCCGCCTAGCTGTTACCCGCCTAGCTGTTACCCGCCTAACTGTTACCCGCCTAACTGTTACCCGCCTAGCTGTTACCCGCCTAGCTGTTACCCGCCTAACTGTTACCCGCCTAACTGTTACCCGCCTAGCTGTTACCCGCCTAACTGTTACCCGCCTAACTGTTACCCGCCTAGCTGTTACCCGCCTAACTGTTACCCGCCTAACTGTTACCCGCCTAACTGTTACCCGCCTAACTGTTACCGCCTAACTGTTACCCGCCTAACTGTTACCCGCCTAGCTGTTACCCGCCTAGCTGTTACCCGCCTAACTGTTACCCGCCTAACTGTTACCCGCCTAACTGTTACCCGCCTAACTGTTACCCGCCTAACTGTTACCCGCCTAACTGTTACCCGCCTAACTGTTACCCGCCTAGCTGTTACTAGCCTAATTGTTACCCGCCTAACTGTTACTAGCCTAACTGTTACTAGCCTAGCTGTTACTAGTCTAACTATTACTAGCCTAACTGTTACTAGCCTAACTGTTACAGTACTAGCCTAACTGTTACTAGCCTAACTGTTACTAGCCTAACTGTTACTAGCCTAATTGTTACCCGCCTAACTGTTACTAGCCTAATTGTTACCCGCCTAACTATTACTAGCCTAACTGTTACTAGCCTAACTGTTACTCTGCTAACACGACAAAACCTTTGAGAACTATTTTATTTGCAGACAGTGAATAAACCTTTTGTTTAAAGTTTATTTACTTTGTTTGATTGGCACAAAGCCGTATAACAAACAGGATCATGTTTAGAACACAGGTCATTAAAGCATAATAAGTACGTTCAGGGCGTCAGGGTTTGCTCTGTCGGTTGGTTTCCCGATGATGACCTACACTGTAAACAATATCCTTCACATGTAAATGCTTTGTAGATGGTTGCTCAATATGTTCTTAGTGTCAGTGCGTTCATGTATTTTTATTGAATCCAAACCGACCAGAAAACAATATCCAAACGTATGTCAAGGAAATGAAACAAAAACAGGTAAAAAGACACGATGACAATAAAAGTAAACCGCGGTTATACTTTGTTCCCAGACAAAAAACAGTTTGACGCCTGCTCCATCCACGGCTCCGATCCTTTCTTATAATAAAAGCAGCAATAACCAGATCACGGTCATAGATCTGGGCAAAGATACAGGCTTTTCATTCCCTTCAAGATGGACGCTTACATCCGCCTCATTCTGAAGCAGGATATTAATCTCCTGATAACGTCCAATCACAGAAGAGCGCAGCATCTGCATAAATACTGTCTATATATTTATATGTTGCTGTTTTCTGCCTCTTTACAACTAAAGTATTGTCTCATTGTTAAAACAACTTCAACAGAGACATTCCCAAAGCTTTTATTTGCAAATGTTTACAATGGAAGTTTATGTTTTAAAATAAGACCAGAGAGAGAGATGAGAGAGAGAGAGAGATGAGAGAGAGAGAGAGACAGAGACAGGAGGGAGAGACAGACAGGAGAGAGAAAGAGACAGGAGGGAGAGACCGGGGAGAGAGACAGGAGACAGGAGAGAGACAGAGACAGTAGAGAGAAAGAGGCAGGAGACAGAGAGAAAGGAGAGAGAGACAAGAGAGAGACAGACACAGGAGTGAGAGACCAGAGAGAGAGACAGGATAGAGAGAGACAGAGACAAGAGAGAGAGAGACAGAGACATGAGTGAGAGACCAGAGAGAGAGACAGGAGACAAAGAGAGAGACAGGAGAAAGAGAGAGAAAGGAGACAGAGAGAGAGACGGGAGACAGAGAGACAGGAGAGAGTGAGAGACCAGAGAGAGCGACAGGAGAGAGAGACCTGAGACAGAGAAGGAGAGAGAGAGAGAGGAGAGAGACATAGACAGAGAAGGAGAGAGAGAGAGAGGAGAGAGACATAGACAGGAGTCTATGTCTATATTCAAGATGGTGTTCAAAACTGGTGTAACGATGTGACAGTGATCTCCAAGCACTGCTCTCCTGCTCTGGAATATCTTTTCATTCATTGTAAACCATATTACTCCCCGCGGGAAATTGTTTCATTCATTCTTGCCTCTGTTTACATACCGCCATGCGCGGACGCGCGCGAGGCTCAGCGCGCACTCGCAGAGCAAGTACTGTGTATGGAACGCTTATACCCGGACTCTCTGATTATTATCCTGGGGGATTTTAATAAGGGAAACTTGAGCCAGGAATTACCCAAATACAGACAGTTTATCAAATGCCCGACCAGAGAGGAGAACACTCTGGATCACTGTTACACCACCGTGCGCGGAGCTTTTCGCGCTGTTCCCAAGCCAGCCCTCGGCTTCTCAGATCACTCCATGATACATCTGGTTCCTGCTTACAGACAGAGACTAAAGCTCTCGAAACCTGCAGTGAGGAGCTCCAAAGTGTGGTCTGATGAAGCTGTGGAAGAGCTGCGCGCATGCATGGAATCTACAGACTGGGACCTTTTCAGAGCTGCCACAGACAGCTTGGATGAATATACGGACACTGTGACGTCATACATCCACTTCTGTGAGGATAGCATCATTCCAACAAGGACCAGGGTCATCTATAACAACGACAAACCCTGGTTCACTGCTAAACTCCGGCAGCTCAGGAAAGCAAAGGAGTCTGCTTTCAGGGAGGGGGACCGCAGCGGCTACAAAGCAGCTAAATATCAGTTCAGGAAAGAACTGAAAGCAGCCAAGTCCCGGCACAGAGAACGACTACAGGAGCAGTTTGGTAACAACGATACTGCTTCTGTCTGGAGGGGCCTACGGGAGATCACCAACTACAAACCCAAAGCCCCCCCCTGTGCTGATGACCACAAGCTAGCTGACGATCTGAACTTATTTTTCAGTCGCTTTGATGCTGCCCCTGACACCTCTCCCTCCCCCACCCCCCACTACTCTAACGACCCACCCATCAGCCCTGCCCCCAGCCTAACAATAGCCGCTAAAGAGATTAAACAACTCTTCCTGAGGCTGCACCCCCGCAAAGCTCCTGGCCCGGACCACGTGTCTCCGGCCACTCTGAGACACTGCGCCAGTGAGCTTACTCCTGTGTTCACTGACATTTTCAACACCTCTCTGCAGTCCTGCCATGTCCCGGCCTGCTTCAAATCCTCCATCATTGTCCCCGTCCCGAAGAAGCCCAGGATCACAGGACTCAAAGACTACAGACCTGTAGCACTTACGTCTGTCGTCATGAAGTCATTTGAACGCCTGGTTCTCTCCCATCTCAAGTCCCTCACCTCCCCCCTCCTGGACCCCCTGCAGTTCGCCTACAGAGCCAACAGATCTGTAGACGACGCCATTAACCTGGCCCTCCACCACATCCTACAGCACCTGGACTCCCCGGGGACCTACGCCAGGGTCCTGTTCGTGGACTTCAGCTCTGCCTTCAACACAATCCTGCCATCCCTGCTCCAGGACAAGCTCTCCCAGCTCAACGTGCCCGATTCCACCTGCAGGTGGATCACTGACTTCCTGTCGGACAGGAAGCAGCGAGTGCGTCTGGGGAAGAATGTCTCGGACTCTCGGATTATAAATACAGGAGCCCCACAGGGCTGTGTTCTTTCTCCCCTGCTCTTCTCCCTGTACACCAACCACTGCACCTCCAGCCACGACTCCGTGAAGCTGATCAAGTTCGCGGACGACACCACCCTCATTGGACTCATCTCCAACAACGATGAGTCCGCCTACAGGAGGGAGGTGGACCGGCTGGTGTCCTGGTGCAGTGGTAACAACCTGGAGCTGAACGCCCAGAAGACAGTGGAGATGATTGTGGACTTCAGGAAGAGCACTGTCCCCCCGCCCCCACCCTCCGTGATGGACTCCCCCATCACCTCTGTGGAGTCCTTCCGTTTCCTGGGCACCACCATCACCCAGGACCTCAAGTGGGAGCCGACCATCAGCTCCCTCATCAAGAAGGCCCAGCAGAGGATGTACTTCCTGCGGCAGCTCAGGAAAGCCAAGCTGCCTGCACAGATGTTGGTGCAGTTCTACACGGCCATCATCGAGTCCATCCTCACCTCCTCCATCACCGTGTGGTTCGCTGGAGCCACAGTCAGGGACAAACAGAGACTACAGCGCATTGTGCGCTCTGCAGAGGAAGTGATCGGCCGCAGCCTTCCATCGCTGCAGGACCTGTACGTCGCCCGAGCTCGAGGCCGGGCTGGTCGTATCACAGCCGACCCCTCTCACCCTGCACATGGACTATTCCAACCACTCCCCTCAGGCAGGAGGCTGCGGTCCATCAGGACTAGAACCTCCCGCCACAAGAACAGTTTCTTCCCCTCTGCTGTTGGACTCTTGAACACTTCTTAACCTGTCCCTCTGCCCTTTATAAAGTCACTTTACTGCCCATCATACGTCACTTTACTTCACTGTACTGCTGTCACCTTACATTGTGTGCACCATGTGCACTTGTATATTGTAAATAGTAACTGTAACTCTATTTTAAATTTAAATTTATTCTTTAGAAGTGTTTTTTATTCTTATTTTTATTATCTCTTTTTGACTGTTGCACTGAGCCAAAGCAATTTCCAAGTCTGTGACCTCCCGTTACTTACGTTGGCAATAAAAATGATTCTGATTCTGATTCTGATCTGATTCTGATTCTGAGACAGAGACATGAGTGAGAGACCAGAGAGAGCGACAGGAGAGAGCCCAGAGTGTAACAGTGTGTGTGTCTCTCCCTCAGTGGCCCCCAGCACTGACGACGTGGCCCTGTACGTGGGGATCGTCATCGCCGTCATCATGTGTTTAGTGATCTCCGTTGCCGTGGCGCTGTTCGTTTACAGGAAGAACCACCGCGACTTCGACTCCGACATTATGGACTCGTCTGCGCTGAACGGGGGATTCCAGCCCGTCAGCATCAAGACGGCCCGCAAAGGTCTGACTGGGATCTGTAAGACATCTATACACTTATGTACATGTCAGCCTCTGGTCTCGCTCTGGTCTCTCTCTCTAGTGTCACTCTGGTTTCACTCTCTGGCCTCTCTCTCTGTTCTTTCTCTCTGGCCTCTCTCTCTCTGATCCCTTTCTGGTCTCTCCCTGTCTCTTGTCTCTCTCTCTGGTCTCTTTAGACACTCTCTTCCTCTCTCTCTCTCTCTCTCTGGTCTCTCTGGTTTTTCTGGTGTCTCTCTCAAGCAAATAACCAAAAACATATCAATGACTTGACTTGAAGCCAGAGAGAGATTAGAGAGAGACCAGGGAGAGATACCAGAGAGAGGCCAGTAAGAGAGACCAGAGAGAGACCAGAGAGAGGCCAGAGAGAGAGAAACCAGAGAGAGAGTAGAGTGAGGCCAGAGAGAGACCAGACAGAGACCAGAGAGAGACCAGACAGAGACCAGAGAGAGAGCAGAGAGACCAGAGAGGGAGCAGAGGGACCAGAGAGAGACCAGAGAGAGACCAGAAAGAGGCCGATGTAGCTTTGTAGATTAGGAGACTGGATGTAGTATGTAGTCCCAGAGTTGGTCACGATGAGATGCCGCTCGGCCTTAAAATGTTTAAAGATCCTCAAACACAAACTAATTATTTCACTTTTGAATCCTGTGCAAATATTTAATTCATTTTGCATCTTAACTTTCACATCCGGCATTTTTCTCCCTGGTCCAAACAGCTTGTGTGACCTCCTCTGACATTGTTATGATAATGTAAACGGTGTGAATGGTGCAGAGGAGTGAGATTCTCCGCTCCTCTCTCTCTCTCTCTCTCTCTCTCTCTCTCTCTCGCTCTCTCTCTCCACCCACGCCTCGGATCCACGCTCCTTCCTGGTACCTGCTGAGAGAGACTCCATCTGGTCCTCATGAATCACCGCCTGAACTCTTCCCACTGAGAAATGCTTCGAGGAGAACGAGTGGACTTTCTTAACGAGCGCCGGACTAATGAGAAAAGAGGAGCAGGCTCTGTGCTCTCTCTGGTGTCCTTCTGGTCTCCCTCTGGTCTCACCCTGGTCTCTCCCTGGTCTCTCTCTGGTCTCTCCCTCTGGTCTCTCCCTCTGGTCTCTCTCTGGTCTCTCTCTGGTCTCTCTCTGGTCGCTCTCTCTAAACTCTCTCTGGTCTCACCCTGGTCTCTCTCTGGTCTCTCTCTCTGGGCTCACCCTGGTCTCCCTCTGGTCTCTCCCTCTGGTCTCTCCCTCTGGTCTCTCTCTGGTCTCTCTCTGGTCTCTCTCTCTGGGCTCACCCTGGTCTCTCTCTGGTCTCTCTCTGGTCTCTCTCTCTGGGCTCTCTCTGGTCTCTCTCTCTCTCTCTCTCTCTCTCTGCTCGCTCTCCGCTCTCTCTCTACTCTCTCTTTGGTCTTTCCCTCTGCTCTCTCACTTTCTTCGCTATCCGAGAGAAAGATACAGGAGAGAGACCAGAGAGAGAGACAGGAGAGATTCCTCAGTCTAACCGAGTGTTTCCTGACCATATTAAAGTGATGGTATGTAACTTTCTGAATCCTTCCTTACCTTTTCCGTCTGCTCTGTCCCCGGCCACAGCGGATCTCCTGACCGCGCCCCCAGACCTCACCTCCGCCGCCGCCATGTACCGTGGCCCGGTCTACGCCCTCCACGACGTCAGTGACAAGATCCCCATGACCAACTCCCCGCTGCTGGACCCTCTGCCCAACCTGAAGATCAAGGTCTACAACTCCTCTGGCCTGGTGACCCCGCAGGACGACCTGGGGGGAGAGCTCTCCTCCAAACTCTCCCCCAAGTTACCCCATAGTCTCCTGGACAGCAGCGACACCATCAACCGGCGAAACCAGACCCTTATGCGCACCAGGGACCCCTCCTGCACCGCCGTGGGCTCCTTTAGCTCCCAGGGCGGCCATCTTATCGTGCCCAACTCAGGTATTCTATCTCTGTTTGGTCTCTATCCGGACTCTCTCTGGTCTCTCTCTGGTCTCTCCCTGGTCTCTCTCTGGTCTCTCTCTGGTCTCTCTCGGGTCTCTCTCTGGTCTCTCTCTGGTCTCTCTCTGGTCTCTCTCTGGTCTCTCTCTGGTCTCTCTCTGGTCTCTCTCTGGTCTCTCTCTAGTCTCTCTCTGGTCCCTCCCTGGTCTCTTTCTTGTGTCTCTCTGGTCCCTCCCTGGTCTCTCTCTGGTCGCTCTATGGTTTCTCTACGGTCTCTCTCTGGCCTCTCTATGGTCTCTCTCTGGTCCCTCCCTGGTCTCTCTCTGGTCTCTCTCTCTCCCTCCCCCCCTGATGTTTCCTGATGTATTTTCTCTCTGGGCTGTTGTCTCAGATAGTTCACTGATTTCCCTCGTCCTTGAGCTGAACTTCTCAAAAGGTGACAGTTAGCTCCAGGTGCTACGGGAAAGAGGCAATCACTAGTGTGCTGCAGGGACGTGGGGCCACTCTGCTTCAGAGAGAAACACATTTTAAGAAGCAGAACGAGCAAACAGTCACAAAATATATTATTTCTCACAAAAATAATGGCAAGATGTTGCCAGAGAGAAATACCAAACAGAGACCAGAGAGAGACCAGAGAGAGACCAGAGAGAGACCAGAGAGAGACCAGAGAGGGACCAGAGAGGGACCAGAGAGAGACCAGAGAGAGACCAAAGAGAGGCAAGAGGGAGACAAGAGTGAGACCAGAGTGAGACCAGAGTGAGACCAGAGAGACTGACCAAACCAGTTCATCTCTCCCCCCTCTCTCCCCTCTCTCTCCCCTCTCTCTCCCTCCCCTCTTCCCTCCCATCTCTCTCCCCTCACTCTTCCCTCTCTTTCCTCTTCCTCCCCTCTCTCTCCCCTCTCTCTCCCTCTCTCTCTCCCTCTCCCTCTCTCCTCTCCCTCTCCCTCTCTCCTCTCCCTCCCCTCTCTCCCTCTCACCCTCTCCTCTCTCTCTCTCCTCCCCTCTCTCCCTCTCCCCACTCTCTCCTCCCACCCCTCTCTCCTTCTCTCCTCTCTCTCTCTCCTCCCCTCTCTCCCTCTCTCTCTCCCCACTCTCCCCTCCCGCCCCTCTCTGCCTCTCTCTCTCCTCTCGCTCCCCTCTCTATCTCCCCATTCCTCCCCTCTCTCCCCTCTCTCCCCTCACTCTCTTCTCTCTCTCCTTTCTGAATGAATGGTTTTTAATGTAACTTGTATTCTCATTGAGGGTGAAAGGACAACAACACTCACCACATTTGTCCTTGTGTCCCCCTTCTCCCCCATCTCCTCCCCCCTGTCCTCCCCCAGGGGTGAGTCTGCTGGTCCCAGCGGGCGCCGTCCCTCAGGGTCGGGTCTATGAGATGTATGTGACTGTTCAGAGGAAGGACAACATGAGGTACACACACACACACACACACACACACACACACACACATACACCCACACATAGATACACACACATACACACACACACACACACATACATACACACACATAAACATACACACACACACACACATACACCCACACATAGATACACACACATACATACACACACATAAACTTAAACACACACACACATACACACACACATACACCCACACATAGATACACACATACACCCACACATAGATACACACATACACACACACATACACCCACACATAGATACACACACATACACACACACACATACATACACACACATAAACATACACACACGCACACGCACACACACACTAACCCCTCATGTGTCCAGGCCTTCGGTCGAGGAGGGACAGACCGTGCTGAGTCCCGTGGTGAGCTGTGGGCCCCCAGGAGCCCTGCTGACGCGGCCCCTGATTCTCACCATGCATCACTGTGCGGTGTGTGACGGACAACAGGACTGGCTCATCCAGCTCAAGAACCTGTCCCCACAGAACCAGTGGGAGGTAAGAGAGACCAGAGAGACCAGAGAGAGACCAGAGAGAGACCAGAGAGAGACCAGAGAGAGACCAGAGTGAGACCAGAGAGAGACCAGAGAGAGACCAGAGAGAGACCAGAGAGAGACCAGAGAGACCAGAGAGAGACCAGAGAGAGACCAGAGAGAGACCAGAGAGACCAGAGAGAGACCAGAGAGAGACCAGAGAGAGACCAGAGAGAGACCAGAGAGAGACCAGAGAGACCAGAGAGAGACCAGAGAGAGACCAGAGAGAGACCAGAGAGAGACCAGAGAGAGACCAGAGTGAGACCAGAGTGAGACCAGAGAGAGACCAGAGAGAGAGACCAGAGAGAGACCAGAGAGAGACCAGAGAGAGACCAGAGAGACCAGAGAGAGACCAGAGAGAGACCAGAGAGAGACCAGAGAGAGACCAGAGAGACCAGAGAGAGACCAGAGAGAGACCAGAGAGAGACCAGAGAGAGACCAGAGAGAGACCAGAGAGAGACCAGAGAGAGACCAGAGAGAGACCAGAGAGAGACCAGAGAGACCAGAGAGAGACCAGAGAGAGACCAGAGAGAGACCAGGGAGTTTGTGTTTCTCTGCTCCTGGTTCTCTGCTGATGGTGATAAGTGTCTTTTTCTCTCACCTTTTTTCTCTGCTCTGTGTTTTATTTCACTTTTCCGCCGCGTTCACAAAAATAGAAAGTTATTACTGGATAAGATCATGTGATTGGATCTACACACAGAGAATACACTCAGAGAATACACTCAGAGAATACACTCAGAGAACAGACCTGGAGAGAACAGGCTTGGCCTTGGTCTGGCTCTGGGTCTGTGTCTGGGTCTGGGCCTGGGTCTAGGTGTGATGTGGTGATAGCTTCTGGAGCCAGGCCTCTGTGTGACAGTGATAAATGACTCCAGGTGCCCAATAAAGCGCTGTGTAAACTCTGTATTTTAAGGGAAAATAACTATCGATTCCATCTCTGGTCTGTCACCGATGGTTCGGATGCTCATGGTAATAACTTCAGTGACAGCGGCTTCTTCCTCAATATGAGCTTTTCCCTCCACTGAGGCCGTGACAGAGACAGATCCATCATCAGCAGAGACCTCACACTCAGACACCGCACAGGGCGCTAACAACAATAGCAATAGCATTAGCAATAGCATTAGCATTAGCATTAGCATTAGATTTAGCACTAGCATTAGTTACGGTACAGTAGCTCCACACTCAGCTCTGACACAGCCCTAATCCAAAACTGGTAAAAGTAGTCAAGTCCAGGACCAGTCCAAGACAAGTCCAGGACCAGTCCAAGACCAGTCCAGGACCAGTCCAGGACCAGTCAAGGACCAGTTCAGGACCAGTCCAGTTCCAGTCCAGGTCCAGTCCAAGACCAGTCCAAGACCAGTCCAAAACTAGTCCAGGACACTGATTTTCTTCTTTTATAAAGTCTTGCGTCAAACACATAGAGACCATGTGGACAAACACACCTGACACAGAGACCATGTGGACAAACACACCTGACACAGAGACCATGTGGGCAAACACACCTGACACAGAGACCATGTGGACAAACACATCTGACACAGAGACCATGTGGACAAACACACCTGACACAGAGACCATGTGGACAAACACACCTGACACAGAGACCATGTGGACAAACACACCTGACACAGAGACCATGTGGACAAACACACCTGACACAGAGACCATGTGGACAAACACATCTGACACAGAGACCATGTGGACAAACACATCTGACACAGAGACCATGTGGACAAACACATCTGACACAGAGACCATGTGGACAAACACATCTGACACAGAGACCATGTGGACAAACACACCTGACACAGAGACCATGTGGACAAACACATCTGACACAGAGACCATGTGGACAAACACACCTGACACAGAGACCATGTGGACAAACACATCTGACACAGAGACCATGTGGACAAACACACCTGACACAGAGACCATGTGGACAAACACACCTGACACAGAGACCATGTGGACAAACACATCTGACACAGAGACCATGTGGACAAACACACCTGACACAGAGACCATGTGGACAAACACACCTGACACAGAGACCATGTGGACAAACACATCTGACACAGAGACCATGTGGGCAAACCTCAGTCCTCTGGTTTGTCCTCCACACTTCTCCATTGCACAGGGCCAGCAGCAGCAGCCTCCTGGAGCGGGTATGTGTGCTGCGGGTGTTTGAGGCTTCAGCGTCTGACAAACGAGTGAATAAATGATGTGGAGGGATCGCGTGCTTCACTTTTCTGTTTATTTGCTCTCGTTCTCTTCAATCTTTCAAACACAAACCTACTTTTGCACACGGCGTTTTGATTACTCCCCAATCAGGAGCGCGGTGGCGTTCTCTGCGCGGCGTTCCCGGCGTGGCGTTATTGGCGTGCCGTAATTGGCGTGGCGTTATTGGCGTGGCGTAATTGGCGTGGCGTTATTGGCGTGGCGTCCCGGCGGAGCAGTTAGAATCTAATTATCAGCAGTTATAATGGTGTTAAAGAAACTGTTTATAAAAAACAGGAGAAAACCCAGGAAAAGCAGCGTCTTTTGGGAATGTACTGCCTTTAGCCCTGTTTCCACCAGCCCTACCCTACTCTACTCTACTCTACTCTGCTCTGCTCTGCTCTGCTCTGCTCTGCTCTACTCTACTCTACTCTACTCTACTCTACTCTACTCTACTCTGCTCTGCTCTGCTCTGCTCTGCTCTGCTCTGCTCTACTCTACTCTACTCTGCTCTACTCTGCTCTGCTCTGCTCTGCTCTGCTCTACTCTACTCTACTCTGCTCTACTCTACTCTACTCTACTCTACTCTACTCTGCTCTGCTCTGCTCTGCTCTGCTCTACTCTACTCTACTCTACTCTACTCTACTCTACTGTACTCTACTCTACTCTACTCTGCTCTACTCTACTCTGCTCTACTCTACTCTACTCTACTCTACTCTACTCTGCTCTGCTCTGCTCTGCTCTGCTCTGCTCTACTCTACTCTACTCTACTCTACTCTACTCTACTCTACTCTGCTCTACTCTGCTCTGCTCTGCTCTGCTCTACTCTACTCTACTCTACTCTACCCTTCTCTACTCTGCCCTACTCTGCCCTACCCAACCCTACCCTTCTCTACCCTTCTCTACCCACATGTATCTATGCTGTGTATTGCAGGATGTGGTGGTGGTGGGGGAAGAGAACTTCACTACGCCGTGCTACATCCAGATGGACGATGAGGCGTGCCACATCCTGACGGAGACCCTGGGGACCACGTGCCTGGTGGGGCAGGCCCTCAGCGCCTCCACCACCAAACGCCTCAAACTCGCCATCTTCGGCCCCGTCACGTGTCCCGCCCTGGAGTACCACATCCGGGTCTACTGCCTGGACGACAACCAGGACTCCCTGA